ATAGCAAAAGCAGGAGAATCTCTATCTGAATTTCCAAAAGCAAAACAGGAAATACTGGGCTTCAGGGGACAAATTTTTGAGACAGTATATTTAAATGTAAAAAATGCGGGAGACCATGCTTCCAGATGTATTTATTTTGAACACAAAATATTTGTAAAAACAATGTATAATTATTAATGTTTTTGTATGAATAAGTCTTAAAAAGATTTTTTTAAAGAAAATTAACCTATTAAACTTCCATAGATTTGTCTACAGCACTTACTTTTTACATCCACCTTTCTCATCCACCTGTCTTCCAGTACTCTCAGTGGAAAACCAGATTGAATTAAATTTCTCCTGTACTCACGCATCATGATGCTATGATATCTTCACTAGAAAAAGACATTTACATTTCTTCTGTATTTAACCATAGCGGCATTACCCTCAAACTGTTACCCATAATGAGTCACAAGGTTTGTAAGAAAGAGACAGAAATACACAGAATGGCAGTGAGGAGTATTTTTGCCAATATCAATGAGACATCAGTTCATCGTTTCTTGGCCATGGGTATTTTACCATTACTTAGTCATGGGTATTTTGCATCGCTCCTTTTGGTTCATATCACTCCTCCTTACGTGACAGCCAGTCATTTTAATACTGTACAGTCATAACAGAATATCTGTGTATTATCACAGATAAAAAGTCACTCAAGAGAGGCTGTAACACAAGAAGACAAAATTTGGGAGTAGCATTTTTTAAAATGAATAAACTACAAACATACAAAAGCATCTCATCCCCACAAAGGGTTACAGAAGTAGGTTCATGATTAGAGTGTTCAGTAAAAATGGTGGATGACAGATGCTGCAGACAGAGAAAAGTCTTTCCAGTAAAGCTTTTCTGCCTCTACAGTAGGTGAGTCTAACTCACAAGTCTTTCCAAAGTGTTCAGGTTCTGTAAGCACTACATTAATGTTTTGTTAAGCGTGTACATCCCAACTTCCTTGCACAGCTGTAATCCAAGTTATTCCAACTCATCTTGTTTAAAATTTTTGTTTGCCTTCTTTGTTTCTAAATCATGACCTGCAGGTTTATGTGGCACAAAGTAACACAATAGGAGCCATGTGACATTTCCTTAAGGAAATGCTCCTTTCTCAATTTGTCAGTTTTCAATGGCTGCAGGTCTCACAAGAAGCCTTCTTTTAGTGATAGGTAAGTTAGAATTGAAGTGTATTTTTCTGATTTAGACATTAAAAACAAGTAGAAAAGAGGAATCCAAACTCCCACCAAGTTTTAAGATGTAGAATCAATGAATGAGAGCATGAAATAGTACTGATTACTGAAACAGCAAGCAATTCAGTTCTAAGAGCTTGAGAATCTGCAGTTCTGTGAACTAATTCAAGCCTTCAGATTGCACAGGCAAATTTAGCCTGAAATTTACTATGCTATGCCTGGAGATGTTTTGTGCACTCTCTTTTTCACATGCTCTTTCTTGCTCTCTATTCCCTCCCTGTCTGTCGGAATGTCAGTGTTCATAGTTATCCTCCAGATCCATGACAGGCACCCGCTGAAGAGTATAGTGTACCTTATTACATGTGTTAACTCTTTGTGCCTTGGGGCTTGGAGGGATCTTGTAAACTTAGTGAAAATTTCCACATACTGTCTGACAAATTCAAGATGGTTGGCAAAGCTTCATTAAGCCAGCAACTCCTACAGGGCAGCTAAAGAAACACCTCCCATAAAGCAATATTGAGAAAGGGTGATCCAGCTTCCAGCACTAGAAGATCCTATCAAAAGGAAGGGGACAACATGGCAGAAGAGATGCTTACCTTTCTTTAACTAGGCCATTGGAATCACCACTGGAATTAAAGTTCTTTCTGTGTGACTAAGAAAAGAACTGCTAGCAGCAGAATAAACACTTTTTTTTTCCTAACTACAAAGCTATCCAGTTTATGAGCACTGGGTTTTGTTTTGCATTCTCAACAGGAACAATCCTGAAAATCTCATGGGAAAAATGTTCAGCTGAAAACCGGGTCCACAATCCAGGAAACCACAAACACCAAATCTCCCCTACCTAGCTGCTCCTACATATACTCATTTTAAAGTCCTTTCAGTGAATGTGTTATGAATTAAAATTTGTAAAAAAAAGACAAAGTTTTCACATGATTTCAGGTTTCATTGGAAAGGCTGTGCTGTTTTGAAGACAAAACTGTTGCCCTAGTGGTTGTGCAGATGACAACTAATATGCTGCATATTCCTAAACTAAAGCCTAAACAACCCATTAGATACTCATACATATGGTGAAATTATACATTTCAATAATTATACCCAAATAGTGAACCAAAGATAAACAAAAGAATAAAAAAACAGCCTAGACTGCAAGGAATTAATTTACTAATTGTGCCCCATGAACTGCACATCATCTTCATGGATACTTTATGCTGCAAAAAATGGGTTCTACATGTTAGAGAAAAGAAACTAGTCATTAGAGACAACAGTTTCCTAACCTGCCCAATAACTGTGGTCATGCTTAGGAGTAACGGATGAGATGAACATGATGGGTATCATCCTTTAGTTGCATAACCTTGAATCTAAAAGGTCATCCAGCCCAAGAGATCACTTAAAACAACTTTCCCTGGAGAGCCTTGCTGAAAAAAAATTGTGTAAAGATCCCTGTTAAAGACATAGATCTTTACCTACTAAGACAGAAAAAAATACAAAATGGACATTTGTTTTACTCTTTTATGAAAGGTGCAGTTGACTGAACAGCTCACCTTTTTATTGGTGGAATGGATGACACAGTCATAAATAGTGAAAATCACAAGACATATTTTTGCTGATTTCAGATTTTTCTTTGATTGTCTCTAGTTTGAAACTCAACATTAATAATCAAGGAAAAGAAGGAGAAGAAAAGTGAAGAGTAATTGAAGAGGAGGTCTTTATGTGCCCTACAGTCCTTGGGAGTGGTTATAATACTACTTCTGCTCTCTCTCTGCCACAACTGTCACAGATGTGTCTGGCTGCATGAGGCTCCTAGTGTGGGCCAAGAAGCTTTTGTTTGGTTTGTTTTTTAAAGTAGAGAACAGTCAGTCTGTTCTTCCTTCTGTGGCACATCATCAACAATATTCAAAAGAACGGGAGGGGGACAGTGAAGCCAACTTCTGATTTTCAGCACAAAGTTTGTGGCTTCTATTTTATTTCAGTGAAGCTTTCTGGAGAGTGTTTTCTGGTAATTATGAAAGTAAAGAACTGTTATAATTTTTACATGTTATTCTGATACCTCACATTTAAAACCATAAACAGTAAGGTGGTATAATACAGAACACAAGAGCATACAGAAAATAACCACAGAAAATAACCAAAACCGCAAAAAGAACAGATACGTTGCAGGAGAACAATTTCCCATCTTAATGAAGACTCTTTAAAAAAGCCATAGCGTATTGAGCTAGTGGAGTATCTGCAAGTTTAAACAAACAAAAGCTAAAAGCAGTCCAATTAATATTGAAGAATTGAAGTCCTGTCACTGTAAACTTGCCACAAGTTCCCCTGCACATTAGACAGTGAGGAAAACTTAAGATGCATTCTTAAGATTCCTTATGCCTTACAAATCCACAGCTATGCTCAGCTGTGAAACATTAAAAAAAAAAGGTTGGAATCCTTTTCAGAATAAAAGATTTCAAAATAGGCTGTTTGTCCTTTAAGGAATGCATATTGCCTTTTGTTTCTGTCTGCCTTAAAGAATACAACAGTTGAACAGAGCAGACATAATATAAAGAACAGGTTTGAGTGGCTCAGGTGAAATTCTCCCTAAAATACATGTCTGCAACTTCAATGACCTTCACATACACAGCAGATGGCTGCAATCATCAGCTTACTTGCAGTGCATCTAATACAAACCCTTCACAAACTTATTTCAGAAGCATCTGCTAAAAAAAATTTCATCTGCAGCTGCAAAGTGCCCATTTAAAGAAATCTGTTACCATTTTTGGTGGCACTTGAAAGGTATGCTCACCGTATCAAAAGATCCTTTCAGGTAGAAAGAGCAACTCTAACATGATAGGCCAGCTATCTTTAGGAATAGCTCAAAAGAGTATTTAATGACACAAGCTAGTGACAGAGTCAGAAAAGCTGTATCTATTTGTTCAATAGGCACTGGAGCACATGAGGTAGAGGAAATTGACTTTAATGACAAAATAAAAAAATATGATGATAATTTGATTTTGCCTTAGATCAATTAGAATTACAACTGAAAACAAGCAACATGGAATAGTTTTGTTTAGAGTGAACTGAGCACAGAAGAAAGCTGCATCCACATAGATAAAATACAATTCTGATCCAATGTGCCAGTGCTGACATTGTTTCTTGTCTGCATTCCTCTACTCACATTGCACTCAAAACCCAATGAATTCCTGCTTACCTACAGAACACAGGAAAGGTATTCCAGAGGTATAAGGTGAATTTCAATGTGATAAATTGGCAAATTTCTGTTTAGTGACTAAAGTGCTTTCTTCCTCTTTAGTAATGAGAAGCCAATATGAGAGAATTAAAGCGTATTTACTGGACTATAAGTTTTGCCAAGAATTTATCCTGCACAGATCCACATATACAGCCCTTCTTTAAAAAGGAAAGTTTATGAAAGTTCAAAAAGTCCTGAGGAAAATTCATGGCAGAAAAATTTACTATGATTACTTGAGCACAGGAGACATTACCTCAGACTTGATAAACTCTTCGTCACAAATTTCTGGTGTGCTGCATTTTAGTGAAGTTTTCCTGTGTCGGAATGTTTGCCCCATTCTTACCTCTTACCTATGCACCTCTTTCAGCTGTTGCTGAAGACAAAGTATGAGGTGAGTTTAACTGCTAGAGCTATTCTATGTCTGCAGCCAGACAGTTTTCCAAGAGCCTCAGATACATACTCATCCAGATTCATAGCCATAATCCCACATTGATCTTTTCGCTCTCAACTAGATTAGCCGTGTATTCAGGGCATACAGAGAAACCCAAACACTGAAACATGGGACTCACCTGTGCATTCATGTTGTAGTCCTTTCCCATAGTATCCTTTCTCACAGATACACTCAAACTGGCCAGTGTGAGTACCACATTTACAGCTTGCCATGATGTCGCAGCAGTTTTCATTTGCCTCACAGAGATATGAACAATGTGATATATCTTCTTGGATGTAGCTGCCAGAGGGCAGGTCTGAAATAGTATCAGTTTATTAACAAAAAATTCAAACAAAAGTACTCTCACAGCCTCACATTATGTCATTAGTGAAATGTTTGTTAATAACCCATGGTTCTAGTTCTAAGTAATAGTGATGGCAGTGTGAAGCTCAGCCTTGCTATACTCAAAATGAGGAAAAAAAATCTTTCCTTTGGCATATTCATATAGACCAATCCAACCTTACATGACACAAACAGGATGGCAATAAAGCACCAGAATGGCAGTGAAGCAGGCTGCTTATTTAAGAGTAGCAGGTTTTTAAAAACTGTAGCAAATGAGTGCAAATGGGTAGTCTGATGCATGTCCTAAGCCTCAATCAAGCAGCACTGGCTTACAAATGTTTAGTCAGGTGTTCTTGCTTGTCTAAACCTACTCTATTTTTCAGGAATACCTTTTTTCTTTAGAATACAGGAGATTAAAAGAGGCTAAAACCACTGTACAAACTCTCTTTTCATCCCTTGCTCTTTCGAGATTTCCTGAATATATAAGGACATACACATAAATTGCATTTACCTTTATACAGAGAGATCTAAATCAGTTATGAACAGGCTAGCTTTTGCTGCTGTATAAGATACCAAAGATACCAAAAGGTATTAAGTCTAGTCCTAAGGTATGTATAAGGTGTCTCTTTAGGACAACCATGTATCTGACTACACGGTTCATCCATTCAAGTAAAAGTTACATTGGGCCAAGAGCATAGTCTGTTCTTCATGGACAAAATTGAAGCGTTGAATGGAGCTAAGTACATATATCCATCAATGAGGAGAATTTTGCCAACATTTTGTTGATGGTGAGTTAGGCAAATAAGCAGTTTATCCTTTAAACCAAGGAACAAAGATCTCTGCTAGAAATTATGAGGAAAGAAAAAAGAGGAAATCAATACTACATGAAATGTAAATGCAAGACAGTACTGGAGATCTTTCTATTCAGACCTCTCGGCTCTCTATAGATTTCTGAGGTTAGTACAGTAATACCTTCATGAAGAGCTCTGCGTGCCAGGGCTTCAAACTCAGTAAAACTGTGAAGAAGGTAGCAATGATCTTCTTTTGGATGGGATGCCATATCATTCAGTTCTCGGATATTCCCCTGCCATATCCCAAAGGTGAAGATCTCCACACCAAATTCACGCAAGGATGCTGCAATGGGTCTTGGGTCTCCCCCATTGGAATAACCATCGGTAATGAGAAATATCACTTTTGTGGCATTTCCACGGGCATGCCGTAATATTTGCTGGAAGAGAAAATGAAATTGCACACCTCAGCAAAGAGTTAAGATTGGTTGATATGTACCCTACCTCCATGATGTTACTCTTTTATTTGAATTATAGAACTAGATTAAACCCTTGCAGGACCACCTACCATAACAAAGCACAATCACCTGCCTGTGGTTAAACAAGGTCAACCACTGAGTCAGACTTCAGATGATCACAGTTTGCACAATCGCACAAATCATGATATGGTCTGAAATGAGGCACTTTTCACACTAGCTGATAGAGTCACCCATGGGTCAGACAGCAGTGATTCTGACCATGGCTTTAGCACTTCGTTCAGACTGCAGTTTGAATAGGTAATACAAACACTGAAAATCTAGTGCAAGACCCAAAACATGATCTAACATATTTTATTGTAATCTTATGTTTTGATCCACTAAATTATAAATGACACTTCTGATTTATTATTAGTTTTCTCCCAACAAGCATTTGTATTGTTGATTATTTTAACCCCAGCATAGCATTCCCCATGCTGTTGAATTGTGTTCTTCTCCCTTACAATAGCTTGCTAAGATCACTTTAGATCGTCCAGCATGGCCTCAAAGCTGTTTGTAGTCCCTTCCACCCTGCTGTTGCCTCCAGATTTAAGGATCATTTGTTTTTGGATGACAGGCAGAGCACCTGCAAAAATGTGATGTTGCCATGCCATGGTAGAAACTACCATATGGACTTGTCACTCTGATGATTAGCCACTGTCTGTCAGAGTGGAAATAAGAGGCTGCCAACAATCTACTGCTGGCCACGTGCTGTCTGTGACGCTAAAGCGGGGGATTGTGAAGGTGCACTTTCTCCTTCCTCTCTGAACTTGTGTAGAAGGAATTGGATGCAGACTTTCAGCTTGGTAGGAGGCAAATGACAACCAGACTGTACCATTATACAATCAATACAAAAGACTTTTGAATGGTACTCCAAAAATCATGTCATTGTATGACAAGCAGTAAATGTATTTAAGCCACCTTAACAAATGTAAATTCCGAAAATGGAGATGAACCGAATTGAGTAGTCTTATTACAGAATCTTAAAGTAAGACTTATGAAGCAAAACCATCTGGTTTTCAGCTCAACCAGAAGATTTCAAGTTTAGGCCAATCTAAATAATATGTGGAGATTTTATGTTCCTTATCAGTAAACCAGGCCACATTTCAGGACAATCTGATTTTGATTTGGTGATTCATCGATTTCAGGTAGATACTAAACAAAACCAAGCACACACACTATAAATCAAAGCACATACCACCGGCACTGTGGTCCGAAAGACTGCCAAGCAATGCTATGCTGTTGGGCTTGATTTTAATACTACTTTTATGCAAAACCCAAAGGGAGTGAAACCAAATTCTCTTGCAAACAAAAACATCCTTCACAAATCAAACCTATTGTTCTTCATATTGCTTAAGTTATAAGCTGAAAACCAGAATGAAGTGAAAAAATGAGATGAAGTGAAAAACTAAAATGAAAAGAATCAGGAAGAAAAAGACAAGACAAAAGACACCATGAGTACAAATAGTAGGGAAAAAAGGACAAACGGCTCATTTCAAAATGCATTCTGAAACTGACACTCTAAGACAAGCGACATTGCAGGCAGAGAGGGTAGTGCTATTTATAATTAACACATATAATTAACATATTAAGCATTTAATGTGCTATATGAAAATAGAATATAAGCAACTTATACTTCTATCCAACTTCTTAAGTATTCCAGCTGAAATTCCCCACTCAGGATGTTTGTCTCAAGCTGTTTCAGTGAAATCAGCTCTTATTTCGAAAAACAAGATGAGGAGAACACATGTTCCATCCATACTTATTTGATTTTGGCAACCACAGCATCTCTGAGCTTTGAAGAAAGAATTTTCAATTTGCAGATCACATAATAAAGGTGGAAAAATACGCCCCATATACATGCAATTTGTAGAACATGTAAACTGAGGAAGAAATCAGAACTTACACAGCGTTAAGAAAATAACAGAGATTGCCAGTGCAATTCTTTGAAGACCCCACCTACGTGCAGCTTGCTCAAGCAGAATATGATTTCAACTCATAATTATGTCACAACACATATAGAAGGGAAAACAGAGCTTATTTTTGGAAGGATGTGGCTTTGCAATTTCTGTAGTATCCTTTCAGTACTGGTTCCCTCAGTGCGTAACACAAAGCTGCACAAACTTTGCAAATGAAGGTAGTGGACGGCATTACACACTGCCCTAATGCTTCAGCAATTGAGAGTCATAATAAGTAGCAATCAGACTTCCATATTTTCCTGAAATACAAAGACACATCTGCATGGCCAATGAACCAACTAGCTTGAGACCCAGTAGTCTAGCCAGGACAGGCATCTCAGAAAAGAGTATTTAATTCTGGTTAGAACATTAGCAGGGATTTCTCTTTTACAAAAGCAAACTGACACAAATGCCCTCTGAAACTGCTATGCAGAATACACAGACCCTTGATTTTCCATGCAATGAAGAAAGTTCCTGGTCCCATTAACAAGTGCTTGCCAAACCTTCTCAAAAGGTGCAGGTTTGCATAAGTGGGAAGCATTCGTAAAAGACCAATCTTGAGGAAAAAGTGACCATTTCTGAGGGGAAAATATGCCTTAGCCGCATGACCCTCAGGTAAGACAAGCAGCCAACAGCTTTTTCATCCTCTGCATCTCAGAGGGCAATCATCTCTTCAGGACTGCATTTCTGTCACACAGACACAAACTGAGCTAACAGGTAAGAGAGCACAAAGCTGTCTTCTTACTACCTGACAAAACTGAACATTCAGGCACTAGGGGATCTGAGTAGAGAAACAGACAGACAGAGAAAATTGCTACATGTTGCTCCTACAAATCGAAACAAGCCACTGAACAGCTTGGCCCTCATGTCTTGCGGCTGTAACTCTAGATGCAGAATGTCTGCTGTATAACAGCAGAGAAAACCAACAAGGGAAAGAAAGAAACATTTGGCAAGGGGTGGGGCGCAGATCGAGGTCTACTTTTAAATCATCTGTGTATGTCTGGTGGTCCAGTTAGTATTTTCTTTTTTTTTGTGAAGGCACAGTGACACGGGGAACAGGCCACCGTCCAGAGCTGCTGATAATCCAGGTATAAGTCTGCATTACTCTGACTCCTCTCGCCAATATTTGTGTGGCATTTCACATCATTTTTGTTTCCTTTAACCCTGAATCACATTCCTCTATTCTGTGACACCTCTCTCCTTCCTTCTCCAGAAAGCTGTTTTGAAAGCTCCTTTTTTTCCCAACAGAAATGTCATATTTTAATATGTCTGTTCACTTAACCCCTAAACTTGTAAGCACACAGAGACTGTTCCATGTATTTCACCAGTCGCTACCAACTTAATGGACTGTCCCTACACAAAGATGACATTTTTCATTACAAGGCTTTGCAGACCCTTTGTAAATTGTCAGGTTTTTCAATAAACACAATTTAAAAGCCCACTAAATGGTACTAAGAAGTTAAAGGGGTCCTGAGAACCTGTTTCTTTGGTATGACTATTCACATCTGCTTCTGATTTTACCACCAAATGAAATGGAGCACCAGCCATAACTCAAAATACAGTGCTGAATGACCTGTTTAATTGAGAACTCAGACCATTTGATCACTACTATAAAATAATAAGGGATAAGTACAAACTAAAAGAAAACAATTAGTGCTCTTGATGATTGCAAAAAAAATGCATGGGGTCACTAGAAATATATTGTCATTTACTGTTTTAGTAACTGTTTTCTTGTCTACCACTTCTTTCACAGGAGTGATATATCAGTCAGTTCCAGTAATCCTTCCAGATCCTAAATCAAACATTCTTTTCACATTAGCAAAAAGTTATTACCATCTGTATTGTGTTCAGTGTCTGTTTAGTGTGTACAAGTATCTGGCAGACCTGCCAATTTTTTGTGCCAATAACAGTTCTTAGAATAAAAAAATGAGGTCTTGTGCAACAAAAAAGTTGTTGTACAAAATTCCCCTCTAGAAATGCACTACTGTAAAGGAAAATTAAATCCTATCGGTCCAGTCACAAAACTAGCTAAACCTCTGACTTCTGCGTTTTTAACACTAACGTGGAGTTTGTAGTACAAAATTAGGAGATGAGCAGCATCTCAGGGCAAAGACTTCTTCAGTCACTGGACAGTCAAATCACTGATGTTGCCAAAGGTTCCTTGTTACTGCTTCAATTATATCTTCTGCATCTAATTAATAAACATATGATCTTGGGCCTGATTCCTGCCCTTACTCTGTGTTTTGCTTCTGAAGAAGATTCTGACCATACAGAGTTAGCTAATAATATATCTGTCTAGAGGGAAACAAACTGAAATGGGTTAACCTGTCTCACATTACAAACTGAGCCTCAGATAACATTAGAGCCTCAGGATCCTTGCCAGGGGAGAAGCTTGCCTTGAAAGGATTAAGTTGGAGCCAAGCCCTCAAAACAACATTATCCAAGCATTCATCACAAAAATTATGCTGCCCCTTGTATACGTTGTAGGAAATACACTACCTAAGGGCTACAAAGGGAATATTATTTGTTATAGGTCAGGAAGAACCATCACTGCACCTCAGTAGCAAAACAGAAAGCCCTCCACCAAAGGCCCATTCAGCTCTGCTATACCAGCAGACCAGTTACACTGGGTTTGTTTTCACTGTAGTAATTGCATAAAACTTACACACCAGGGGAGGAGTTCTGAATAGAATGAGATGATTCTTTTTCCCAGAGGATCACTATACATTCACTATATAAAAAATAATTCCTATTTTATAATATTACAGTATTAACTACATATTACACAAGATATTCACTATGAAGCTTATGTTAAAATGAATAAATGTTACTTATTACAAAAACCACTGCATAGATTTGACCTATATATTAATCAGAATGTAAGTCAGCATGTCTTAAATTATCATGGAAGGCTGCAGAAGCAGATCTTCACATAGGGTAATGGCAATGCTAAATCTTTTTGCTAAGCTCACCCTTTGTTTCAAGGTTTCTTT